AGGGCAACCTGAGCCCGGGCGACTTCATCTGCAGCAAATGTCTGCAACTGAGGAAGCTCCAGCTTAGAATAGCTGAGCTGGAGTCTCAGGTGGAGACAGTGCGCAGCATTAGAGATGGGGAGAGCTTCCTGGACAGTTTCATCCTGGAGCCAGACACTCCCATGAGTTCCAGGGATCATCCCATTGCCAACCACGGACAGGACTGGGTGACGGTCAGACAGGCGCGTAAGAGGACCCGAAAGAGAGGGACAGAGGAACCCCAGGCTTTAACCTTGTCCAACGTGTATGAAATACTTACAACATGTGTGGACAAGGAAGTCTGTGAGGAAGATGGGCAAACTTACCCCAACACTTCTATACAGGAGGCCACACTGGGAATAGTCAGAAGGAATATAGTGGTGATTGGGGATGAGACAGTCAGGAAGACTGACACACTTTTCTGCAGCCGTAGCAGGGAGACAAGAAGACTCTGTTGCCTTCCTGGGGCCAGGGTGAAGGATGTCACTTCTGGGCTGGAGAAAAATTTGAAGCAGGAGGGAGTGGATCCAATAGTTATGATTCACATAGGGACCAATGATGTAGGTAGGACAGGTAGGGACGAGTTGAGGAGCAAGTTCCGGGAATTGGGAGTTAAGCTAAAGAGTAGAACTTCGAAGGTATTAATATTGAGATTATTACCTGAGCCGGGGGCAAATTGGTACAGGCAAAAAAAAAAGAACTGAATACCTGGCTAAAAGAATCGTGCGGAGGGCAGGAGTTTCACTTTATAGGCCACTGGCACCAGTATTGGGGGAGACAGGAGCTATTCCAAAGGAATAGACTCCACCTAAACAGGGTTCGGACAAATGTCCTGGCAACACGAATAAATAGGGAGGTAGACAGGGCTTTAAACTACTAGGGGGGGTGGGGGTAAATTCAATCACATGTAATCCGTCACAATTAAAATTAGGACCGATGAAAGTGGGAGAGCAGATTAACCTGGGAGATGAGCAAAGTGTGTCAAGTGGAGAAAGGAAGCCCAGGGATAGGGTATTGGTGAATAGGACTAATAGTCCGAAGTCAGAATTACAAGCGCTATATTTGAATGCGCGAAGCATTCGAAACAAGATAGATGAGTTAAATGCACAAACGAAACAAAAGGGTATGATCTGGTAGCCATCACCGAGACATGGTTACAGGGAGATCAAGGGTGGGAGCTAAATATTCCAGGATATGTGGTGTATAGGAAAGATAGGCAATGTGGTAAACGAGGAGGAGGGGTGGTCCTGCTAATAAAGGATGGGATAAAAACAGTAGAGAGGAAAGATTTTAAATCAGAAAAGCAGGAAGTAGAGTCAGTATGGGTAGAGGTACATAACAACAAGGGGCAGAAAACTCTAGTGGGAGTAGTTTATAGACCCCCGAACAGCAGTCACAGGATCTCTCAAGGTATAGATCGGGAAATTAGCGGAAGATGTAGCAAAGGAAAAACATTAATTGTGGGTGATTTTAATCTATATATTGACTGGGACAATCAAATTGGGAAAAGTAAGATAGAGGAAGAGTTTATAGAATGTATTAGGGATAATTATCTAGATCAGTATACCGAGGAGCCAACCAGGGAACAGGCCAAGTTAGACCTTGTTTTGTGCAATGAAGCAGAGCTGATCAGCAAACTGGAAATGAAGGCTCCTCGAGGGCAAAGTGATCATAATATGATGGAATTCAGCATTAAGTTAGAGAGACCAGCAATGGCAGACATTTAAGGAGATAGTGCAAAATTCCCAGCGAGCACGTATTCCTTTGAGGAATAAGAAAGCCACCGTGGCTAACTGAAGCAGTTAGGGAAAGTATAAAGTTAAAGGAAGAAGCCTATAAAACAGCTAAGATGAGTAGTAAACCTGAGGATTGGGAGAACTTTAGGGATCAACAAAGGAGACCCCAAAAAGTGATCAAGAGGGAGAAAATGGAATATGAGGGCAAACTCGCGAAGAACACAAAAACAGACTGCAAGAGTTTTTTTTCAATATATAAAGAGGAAGAGGTTGTCAAAGGTAAATGTGGGTCCGCTACAGGCAGAGACGGGGGGAATTAAAGTAGGGGACAAAGAGATGGCAGAGTCATTAAATAAGTACTTTGCTACTGTCTTCACCTTAGAAGACACTGAAAACCTACCAAGAATAGAGGGGAACCAAGAAGACAGTGTTAGTGAGCAACTTGGGGAAATTAATATTAGTAAAGAAATGGTTTTAGGTAAATTGTCAGGTCTTAAAACTGATAAATCTCCTGGACCTGATGGCCTACATCCTAGGGTTTTAAAAGAGGTGGCTACTGAGATACTGGATGGCTTGGCTTTGATCTTCCAAAATTCTCTGGATTCTGGAACAGTTCCCATTGATTGGAAGATCGCAAACGTAACACCACTGTTTAAGAAGGGTGGGAGAGACAAGATGGGGAACATAGAACAGTTAGTCTGACATCAGTGGGGAAAATTTACAATTTACATCAGTGATCTGAACGAGGACATTGAATGTAACGTATCTAAATTCGCGGATGACACTAAACTCGGTGGGAGAGTAAGCTCTGAGGATGATGCAAAAAGATTGCAAAGGGGTATAGAGAGGTGAGGGGAGTGGGCGAGTAGGTGGCAGATAGAATTTAATATGGGGAAGTGTGAAGTTATTCACCGAGGTAGCAAAAATAGAAAAACAGATTATTTTCTAGAGGGAGAGATTAGAGAGTGTTAGTGTTCAGAGGGATTTGGGTGTCGTTGTACACCAGTCTCAAAAAGTTAGTTTGCAGGTGCAGCAAACAACTAAGAAGGCGAACGGCATGTTAGCGTTGATTGCAAAAGGTTTAGAGTACAAGAGTAGGGAAGTCTTTCTGCAACTGTATAGGGCTTTGGTGAGACCGCACCGAGAGGATTGTGTGCAGTTTTGATCTCCTTATTTAAAAAAGTACATACTTGCCCTCGAGGGGGTGCAGCGAAGATTCACTCGGTTAGTTCCTGGGATGAGGGGACTGACCTATGAGGATAGGCTGAATAAACCAGGGCTGTATTCTCTAGTACAGAAGAATTAGGGGAGATCTTATTGAAACATATAAGATTCTTAAAGGGCTGATAAAGTAGACACTGAGGGTCTGTTTCCCCTGGAAGGAGAATCTATAACCAGGGGTCACAGTCTTAAAATTAAGGGTCAGCCTTTTAGAACAGAGTTGAGGAAACATTTCTTCAACAACAACAACAAGGTTGCATTTATAGAGCGCCTTTCACGTCGGAAGGACGTCCCAAGGCGCTGGACAGTTGGGTCGGGACCCGAGCAGTGGGGGGAAATGGTCAGGGTGAGGGGAGGGAAGGGAGGAAACGAGGAGGGGGTAGAGAGTCGAGAGGGGAGCTGAAGGCTCGGTCAAAGAGAAAGGTTTTGAGACCGGCCTTGAAGGAGGAAAGGGAGGAAGCAGCGAAGGCACTGGGGATGGAGTTCCTGAGCCTCGGGGCTGAGAGGCTGAAAGCCCGGCCACCGATGGTAGGGCGATTGGGGCGGGGGATGTGGAGCAGACCGGAGCCAGAGGAACGGAGGGTACGGGCATGTAGGTAGGGGGATAGTAGGTCGGAGAGGTAGGAGGGAGCGCGGCCGTGAAAGATCTTGAGATCGATCCTCTGGGGGATGGGGAGCCAGTGGAGACGAGCGAGGGCGAGGGTGAGGGCGAGGTTGAGGGCGATGGTGGGAGTGATGTGGTCGCGGTGTCTGGTGAGGGAGCTGCAGAGTTCTGAATGACCTGCAGTGTGGAGGGAGGGCCGGGAAGGCCGTGAGGAGAGAGTTCCCATAGTCCAGCCTTGAGGTGATAAAGGTGTGGACCAGAGTTTCAGCCGTGTGAGGGGTGAGGTAGTGCCGTAGTCTGGCGACGTTCCGGAGGTGATGGAAGGCGGTGCCAGTTGTGGCGCAGATATGAGGGAGAAAGGAATTCATGGAATTCACTGCCCCAGAAGGCTGTAGATGCTCATTCCTTGAACATCTTCAAGGCTGAGACTAATAGATTTTTTAAAAATAGAGGTATTAGGGGATATGGGGAGAGGGCAGGTAATTAGTTAGGTTTGAAGATCAGCCATGAGCTTATTGAATGGCGGGGCAGCTCGAGGGGCCGAATGGCCTACTCCTGCTCCTAATTCTTAGGTTCTTGTGTTCTATATACATACACACAAACATACATATATCTATACACACACACATATATATGTATATTCACACACACCTATATGTTTATGTACACTAGATCAGCGGGCCTGAAACAGTCAGTATATAACAGGAAGAGTCTCTTACTGTAAACACAGGAAAGGGGAAACCCAATAAATGTTTATTAAGAAATCTCACACACATTTACACTCACATACACACAAACACATACACACACCCGCTCGCACATACAGACACACATACACTCACATACAGATACACACATACAGCTACATACGGACATACATATACATACACACACATAGACACATACACATACACAAACCCACACAGATATATACAGCCACACAAAGATACAAACAGACACACAAACATATGCGCACAGATACATACAGACACACATACACACATACATAGACACACACATACACACACGAATACACACGAATACAGTCGCAGACACACACGCAGAAATGAGTCAATACTTTGTAATTAAATCAAATAAATCATTTGGAAATCTTAACACAGAGACAGACAGTCACTACACCATCACTTCACTTCACAGGTTACACTGTAAAGGGGATTCACTGCCTCTTTTGTGGACGAAACGTTGGGCCAGTTTTTCGCACAGCAGTCCCCAAAACCGCCATGGAGCCGGGGACCAATTTTATTTGTGGGGGCGGTGGGGGGATTGCTGCCCAGGGACCAGGCGTGTGAGAGAGAGAGAGAGTTAAAGCTCCCGGGATTGACTGTGGAGAGTCTGAGACGGTTGCTGGCGCTGGCGCTGGGTGGAGCGCAGGGCGGTTACGGTTGTGATTTTCCCGACAGGAGTTTAAAAGGCGGCGAGTCCTGAGCAAGGCTCGGAGAGACCGGCACCGCATCGTGGGGGCTGTGGTGGACCAGGGTCTGATCACCATCCACCACCTGAAGAAGAGAAGGTCAGTATCTGGGGGACAGACTGTGTGTGTGTGTGTCAGTCTGTGTTTGTGTGTGTGAGTGTTTTGTGGGTGTGTGAGTGTGTTGTGGGTATGTGTGTGTGTGTGTCAGCCTGTCTGTGTGGGTGTGTGAGTGTGTTGTGGGTGTGTGTGTGTGTGTGTCAGCCTGTCTGTGTGGGTGTGTGAGTGTGTTGTGGGTGTGTGTGTGTGTGTGTGTCAGCCTGTCTGTGTGGGTGTGTGAGTGTGTTGTGGGTGTGTGTGTGTGTGTGTCAGCCTGTCTGTGTGGGTGTGTGTGTCTGTCGTTGTGTCACAGCTCAGTAACTGGTGTCTGGTTTGTTACAGCTCCAGTAAACGGGCAAACATCACTCTGTCTGGGAAAAAACGGAGAAAGTTACTGAAACAGATCCAGCACAACGAGAGGGATCGATCAGCCATGGACGGTCAGTCAGTCGGTCAATCAGCCGGTCGGTCAGTCAGTCGGTCGGTCAGTCAGTTAGTCAGTTAGTCGGTCAGTCGGTCGGTCGGTCATGTGTGACTGACAGACTGACACCACACGCCTCTGTTTACCCAGCAGTAAGCAGCTGAAGGCAGGTTATTAGATGATTGACGGAATGCTTTTCCGGGGGTTAATAATCCCTTAAAAAGAAATAATATTAATTCGGTCACTTCAGCCCCGCGGCTGTCTGCGTGGGGGATGCCTCTGTGCGCAATTGGCTGCCGCGTTTCGCCCACAGTGGACCTGCGAAGCGCTTTGAGGCGTCTCGACGACGTGATGAGGCACTGTGTCAAACACGGTGGATTGTTGTTATTCTCCCCATCGCTCTGCCCTGCACAGCTCCCCCTCCTGTTGCGGTCATCAGAGATGGCTCTCTCTCGCTGTGGTCTGGAGAGCCTCTGAGATTGATGTTTGGGGTTGAGTCTTAATTGATTGAGTGATAAGTTGTCACCCAGCATCCGAGATACAAATACCACAGTGAATCAGCGAGTTCCCTGACGAGGAAGTCATCTATTGCACAGCTCACAATAATCCACGGTTGCAGACTCCACGTCGCTGAGCCGGTCTGGAACCTTGATGTCTTGTTTGACCTCAGCTGTCCTTTCTACCCCACATCTGCCTTCCCCCATCTCCGCACCTCGCCCGGCTCCGACACTCTCACACCGTAGGCCTCCGAGACCCTCATACACATCTTCATTACCTCGAGACTCGACTACGCAAACTCCCTGCTGGTCGGCCTCTCCAACTCCTCCCTCCACAGGCTGCAGATCATCCAGAACTCTGCAGCCCGTGTCCTCTCCCACACCAAACTCTGTGACCCCATCACCCCATCCTCGCCCGACTCCATCACACAGAGGATACAGTTCAAGATTCTGGTCCTCACCTTCAAAGCCCTCCATGGCCTTGCTCCCTACCCCCATCACCTCTCCGACCTCCTAACCCCCTACCATCCTGTTCGCTTCCTCCGCTCAGCGGCTCTGGGCTGCTTCACGCCCCCCGCCCCCTCGCCTCGCTCGCCCCACTATCGGCGGACGGGCCTTTCCCACCCTCTGGAACTCCATCCCGCTGTCCCTCCATCTCGCTCCCTCCCTCCCTCCCTCCCTCCCTCGCCACATTCAACACCCACCTCAATACCCTCCTCTTCGACTGTGCTTTTGATCTCCCTGCTTCGCCCCCCCCACCCCACCCTCCCCCTTCCCCGACCCCTCCCCCCAGCTCGGGTCCGTAACACTGACTGTCCAGCGCCTTGGGACGTCCTCCTGATGTGAAAGGAGCTATATAAATGTAATGGTGGTTGTTGTAGTTTCTGCTGCCTGTGCGTTTGTATATGTGTGTGTGTGTATTTGTGTGGTGTGTGTGTATATGTGTGGTGAGTGTGTATATGTGTATTGTGTGGATGTGTGTGTGTATATTTGTAGTGTGTGTATATGTGTGTAGTGTGTGTGTGTATGGGTGTGTGTATATTTGTGGTGTGTGTGTATGTGTGGTGTGTGTGTATATGTGTGTAGTGTGTGTGTATATGTGTGTAGTGTGTGTTTGTGGTGTGTGTGTGTGTATGTGTGTGGACAAGTGAGCACAGGTTTGCAGTTGAAAAGGGTAGTTTCAGGACAGACATTTGGGGACATGTTTCTCCAGTTGATGTAAAAAAATAATCTTTGCATTATGACATTTCACAAGTGCCTTTCAGGTCAGGGTCGTGTCTTAAATCACAGGATTCACTGCCAAGTGTAGTGACTGTGCATTTTGTAGGCCAACGCAGCAGCCGATTTGCGCACAGCGACATCCCACAAACAGACACAAAGTGAGCACCTGATTTTATCTGAGGGACTTTTGTCAGACCACCGCGGTGAGAGAGAGGGAGAGAAGGAGAGAGAAAGCTCGATGCCTCAACCTTCAGACTCAAGGGCTAAGTTCTCCCTACGGTTTTTCGAAGGGGGAGTTTTATCGTAAAACTGGGTCAGTGTGAGTCAGTCCGGCTCAGTGAGTGTGTGTGTGTGTCAGCCCGGCTGTGTGTGTATGTGTGTCAGCCCGGCTCTGTGTGTGTGTGAGCCCGGCTCTGTGTGTGTGTGTGTGTGTGTGAGCCCGGCTCTGTGTGTGTGTGAGTGTGTGTCAGCCCGGCTCTGTGTGTGTGTGTGTCAGCCCGGCTCTGTGTGAGTGTGTGAGTGTGTGTGTGTGTCAGCCCGGCTCAGTGTGTGTGTGTCAGCCCGGCTCAGTGTGTGTGTGTGTGCGTATCAGCCCGGCTCAGTGTGTGTGTGTCAGCCCGGCTCTGTGTGTGTGTGTGTGTGTCAGCCCGGCTCAGAGTGTGTATTAAAGCCTGGCTCAGTGGTTGCGCTTGCGCCTCTGATTCCGAATTGGCTGCCGCGTTTTGCCCACAAAACACAGTCACTCCACTTTACGGTATATCCTGTGAAGCGCTTTGAGACGTCTCAACGACGTGAGCCGGAGTTGTATCAAATGCGAGGATCATGACGATTAAAAGCTGATCTGCTTTCTCTTCTTCAGTGGCACCGGCTCTGAAGCAGATAAGGTCCGAAGCCGGTAAGGATGGGCAGAGCGTAGCAACGAAGAAGAAGGGAGTGAAGGTGGTGGACGTGGAAATGAAAGAAGAGGAGACAGCGGAAAGTGAGGAAAACACAAAAGAAAAGCAGACGCAATAGATCAGCCTCTGAAGGAAAGACTGTGGCGGCTGGAAATCCGAACTAAGTCGCTGGGAACACTCAGCGGGTGAGGCAGCATCTATGGAGAGAGGCGAGTGAGTTAACATTTCGGCGAAACATTAACTCACTCGCCTCTCTCCATAAATGCTGCCTGACCCGCTGAGTGTTCCCGGATCTCTCCAGGACATTTATATCTTCCACATGTACGGAGACAGGATTGTAAACGCTAATTCAAGACGCAGCTGTTTCAAATAAAACCGAATCTCGGGACTTTCCCGAAACCCCAGTGAACACGTCCTTTGGGTTTGCCCTGTCAGAAAATCTCTTGGCTCGCGTTAAACACCGGCGCGGAGGACAGTGGCGTCCTGGAGCCCGGCGGTTAGAGCCCTCGTCTGGCCAGCCAGAGGACCCGGGTTCGATTCCCGGGCAGGGACGAAGTTGGGCGAGTTTCCTGACCCCCCCACGCGCGCGCCTTGGTTTACCCGGCAGCGAGTAGTTAGTCGGTTGGCGGATCGCTTTACGGGGGTAATAATCCCTCCGAAAAAATTTCATTCGGGCCATCACTCAATCCACGGCCATTTGCGGGGATGCTGCTGTGCGCCATTGGCTGCCGCGTTTCGCCCAGAAAATATACAGTCAATTCACTTTGCAGTCTATTTCGTGAAGCGCTTTGAGATGCCTCGAAGACGTGATAAGGCGCTGTGTCGAATGCAAGGATTTTAATTATTATGTTGCGAAGTGCTTTGGGACGTCGTCCTGCAAACGGTTTGCTGGACTGTGTGGAGAGCGCGGGGGTGGAGGGGATTGATTCAGAAAAGCAGTTTAAAAAGCCACAGTGGACCGAATGGCCTCCTTCTGTGGCGTGTAATTCTACGAGTGAGTGCGCGCGTGTGAGAATGAGGCGGGTGTGCTTCTGTGCTACTGCAGTACTTTAAATCTTTATTTCATCACACAGTATCAAAACGGCAATCTTAAAAGTCTTCCTGAAGCATAATACGGAGAGCGAGGCAGGCAAGGGTTAAACATCGCTGACTGATCTTTGGCCGCACGTTATTTATCGATGGTGCTTTTTACACAGTCAGACTCGAGCAACTCTACACAACATTGTTCACACACATTGCTTTACAGAGGGCTGGACAGGACAGAGGAGAAATACATGTACCAGGAACTTTCAGGGTTTAGCATCAACAGAAAGAATAGGAAGACTTTCAGGACAGTAAATACAGATTGAAAATCACTCCCCTCCACTCCGGCCCTGAGAGAGACTCGAGGGCTCAAACACTCCATGATTAGACGGTTACACTCGGTGAAGTGTGTCAGCGTTGGGTCGATGTGGGAGAGGACACACTCTCACGCACACACACACACACGAAGTGCTGTACATGCACACACTGTACACACACTGCTTGTCCAACACACACATGGACTGTTCAACACACACACACACAGCCTGTCCCACACACACACACACAGCCTGTCCCACACACACACACACAGCCTGTCCACACACACACACACACACAGCCTGTCCACACACACACACACAGCCTGTCCCACACACACACCCACACCGCCCCCCACCAGCCTGTCCCACACACACACACACACAGCCTGTCCCACACACACACACAGCCTGTCCAACACACAGCCTGTCCCACACACACATACACACAGCCTGTCCCACACACACACACAGCTTGTCCCACACACACACACACAGCCTGTCCCACACACACACACAGCCTGTCCCACACACACACACACAGCCTGTCCAACACACAGCCTGTCCCACACACACATACACACAGCCTGTCCAACACACACACACACACAGCTTGTCCCACACACACACAGCCTGTCCCACACACACACACACACCCACAGCCTGTCCCACACACACATACACACAGCCTGTCCAACACACACACACAGCCTGTCCCACACACACACACACACACCCACAGCCTGTCCCACACACACACACACACACAGCCTGTCCCACACACACACACAGCCTGTCCCACACACACACACACACCCACAGCCTGTCCCACACACACACACACACAGCCTGTCCCACACACACACAGCCTGTCCCACACACACACACACCCACAGCCTGTCCCACACACACACACACACAGCCTGTCCCACACACACACCCACAGCCTGTCCCACACACACATACACACAGACTGTCCAACACACACACAGGGGTTGGGACTGTGCTAAAGGCCCAACAAGGCTCAGTGTAACGATGGGGTCGAAGACCCACACGCCACCATTCTCTCTCAAATCAAAGAAACCAGCAAAAGAGCTGAGAGCTCGGGGCTGCGAGCTTAGGGTTAAAATACTTTGAAGCCATTAACATACGGGGAGGGTAGAGAGAGACGGGACTCTGTGTGTTGGGCCCTCGCTGGAGGCCCGGTCACTTGCGGTTGGCCTGTGCGGTTCCAATGATACACTCGTTCACCTGAAAGGAGAGGGGACACACGTGAGCAGAGAATAATATAATAATAATAAGCTTTGCATTTGATGCAGAGCCTGATTGCGTCGTCCCAGACGTCTCAAAGTGCTTCACGGGATATACCTCCAAGTGTAGCGACTGCGCGCTTTGTGGGCGAAACGCAGCATCCCCCCCCCCCCCCCCTCCGCAAACAGTCGTGGATCGACTGGCCAATTTTTTTCCCAAAAAAACATGTTTTTGAGGGAAAAGCGATCTGTCAATCGACTGGCAAACGGGTTCCTGCTCGCTGCCGGGTAAACAGAGGCGTGTGTGTGCAGTAAGGAAACTTGCCCAATGTTTTGACTTGCCCCGGGAATCGAACCCAGGTCCTCTGGCTTGCGAGGCGAGGGCTCTAACCACTGAGCCACAGGACCAGGACTCTGATGCAGCAGCTTATCAAATCATTGAGACGTCTCGAAACCCTTTACAGCATTTACTGTCTCTGATTCGCTCCTTCTCCGCTGCTGCTCATCCATCTTCACTCCACTCAGCCAACTCGGGCTTGCTGATCCCCTCTTCGCCCCCTCCCGTAACCCCAGGACTTCCCCCCCCTGGCCCCCTCCGTATCAGTCCCATCTTGAACCCTCATCAACCGAGGGAGACACAATTCTCCAAAACCTCTCTGTCCCCATCCTCTGGAACTCCATCCCACTGTCCCTCCGCCTCACCCCCTCCCTTTGCCTCCTTCGGGACCCGTCTGAAAGACCCTCCTCTTCGACTGTGCCTTCGGTCCCCCACCTCTCGCTGATCCTAACCACCCGCTCGGGTAGCAGATCCCTGATTGTCAGGCGCCTTGGGACGTTCTCCTGGACGTGAGAGGTGACACGTGTCAGTTGTTGTCGTCGGGTGAGGATTTTGTGTTGAGACGTACCTTGCTGGCAAAGCGCAGGGAGTTGAGGGATTCGGAGAAATTCTCATCCAAGGGAGAGATGTTCACAAACATCAACCTGTGTGGGGGGAGACGGAAAAGCCCAGTGAATTCAACCGCAGGCGAACACGGCAGGAAAGTGCGCAGCGAGAGGCACGGGGTTTCGTGTGACCCGCTTGAGCAAAGCACGAGTCACAGGCAAATCGTATCCAATCTGATCTAATCAATAACCTACATCTAATCTGGTGGTGTTCACCGCAGCGCGTGTGGTGTTGCGATTAAGAGATGGCTGGCTTGACAAAAATACGACCGGTGCAAAGCAATCAAAGTGGTTTTGGGGCTGGAAACGGAACGGCACTCTCGGGGAATCGCACGAGGTACGAAGAGGAGGCTTCTGCGGGCTTTTAAATTGCAATTTAAGAACCCAACTCACGTCTTCGAATTGCCGCCCAGGCTGCTCTGCAGTAGGTAGGTCAGCTTACTGTTCCTGTAGGGGATGTGGGAGTCCTGGGAAACAGAGAACACCATCAACAGTGGAGGGGGGGGGGAACCCGAGAAACAGGATCGCAACACTCGTGGCTGGTTTGCGAGACGTCACTGTGCGCAAACCACCCCCAGCACTCACTGCAGTTTACAGTGTGCAATAATCCACACATTTGATAATATTAATAATCCTTGCATTTGATATAGTGATTTTTACATCTTCTTGACATCTCAAAGCGCTTCACAGAACAGACTGTAAAGTGAACTGACCGTATGTTTGTGGACGAAACGCGGCAGCCAATTGTGCACAGCAGTGTCCCACACACAGTCGTGGATTGAAGCAACCAAATTATTATTTTTTTCTTGAGGGATTATTATCATGTGTGTGGAGTGAGGAAACTTGCCCAAGGATCCGCCCTCACCTGCCGGGAATCGAACCCAGGTCTCTCGCTTGCAAAGCGAGTGCTCTAACCGCTGAGCTACACAACCCCACAGACTCTTAGCACGTCCTTCAAGACGTCTCAAAGCGCTTTACAGGATATACTGTGTAAAGTGGGTTGACCGTGTGTTGGCGGCCAGACTTGGCAGCCAGTTGTCCTGGCTGGATTGAGCGACCAATTTTATTTGGGGGATTGTTGGCCAGGACACCAGGAGAGAGAGAGAGAAAGACTCTCCTCTCTTTCTCTCTTTAACGTCCACCTGAACAGGCAGACTGGGCCCCGGGAAACGCTTTGACCGACGTGAGAGGCGCTGCATCAAATGCAAAGACGATTGGATTTTTAACCAAGTAAAAATCAGGCAGTCGTTTTGTGGGACGTGCCTGAGTGCAAATTGGCTGCATGTTTGCCTGCAAAGTAAGCACATTATTCCCTACAAAGTTTTGAGGCGACATCAGGAAAAGGCGATCTGAAACCAAAGGATTTTTTTTTTTAAAAATCGACCTTAAACGTGGTTTATTCTATAAATTGTTAGCTGATAAATCTTAGATTTAGGTTGATGTGGTTAACATAATGTGTCTAAATACTGAATCACTTGACACCACCACCACCACTCTGCTATTTATAGTCAACGATCTAAAACCACTCCCACAGGTTCCCTGTTCACTCTGGGATCCGCAGTTCGACTGAGCTCAGGAGGGATTCTGAGACTTTACTGCAGCACTTAAGTCCCTAGTGGGTGTCAGTTTAGCTCAGTCACTACACTCGCCTCCCTGAGTCAGAAGATTGTAGGTTCAAACCCCATTATGACAATAATCCTCGCATTTGATACAATAATAAGCCTTGCGTTTGACACAGAGCCTTATCAGGTCTTCGAGACGTCTCAAAGCACTTCCCAGGCTACGCTGTGAAGTGAACGTAATATTTTGTGGGTGTCGTCCCCACGTGAAAGGCGCAATGTGTCGGTCTGGCTCAGTGGTAAGGCTCTCTCTCTCTCTCACCTCCGAGTCAAAAGGTTGTGGGTTCAAGCCCCCACGTCGGGACATGGAATCGCAGTCTAAGCTGATGCCCCCCTCTCTCCCTCGGTGTCCTGACCGACAACACCCCCCACCACCCCAATAAAATTGTGTCGCTCGCTTCATCGCTGTTTGGGGGGACACTGCCGTGCGCAACTGGCTGTCGCCTTTCACCCGCAAAATAAGCCGCACCGCTCTACAGCATGAGGTGTGGAGCGCGTTGAGATGTCCCGCTTGTACCGCTGGCGGGAAGCTTGCACGCTGTTCTGTTTGTGACTATGGAACTCTCTCCCTCTGCCTCGCGCTCCCCCCACCCCTCCCTCCCCGCCAGTGAAATGCGAACGGTCATTGTTGTTTACCTTGTTGGAGAGGGAGGTGATCACGTGGCCCAGGCAGGAGAGGCTGGTGTTGATGGCCTGGGCCTCTCGCAGACGATCCCCCTTCGACTGGGACTTGTCCAGGCGCTCGCTGCCGGCCAGGTCCACCAGACTCAGGATCGCTGCTCAAGAGACAAGGGGCTCACAGTAAAGCCTGGGTCAGCCCAGCGCAGAACAGCCCAGCCCGGAACAGAACAGCCCAGTACAGTGTGCAGCTGGTGTCACCAAACCAATCAATTTCAAGATCCTCTCGCTCGTCCACAAACCCCTTCGTGCCCTGGCACCTCCCGACCTCTCCCACCCGCTTACCCCCAACCCGTCGCCCGCTGCCTCCGCTCGACTGGCTCCGGCCTCCAGCTTGTCCCTCGCCCCCTCCGTTCCGCCCTCAGCAGTCGTGCTTTCAGCCACTATGCCCCACAAACTCTGTAACTCTCTCTCTCTCCCTCCGCCTTACCCCTTTCTTCCCCTTGTTTAGGTCACGCCTGAAGACTGTGCCTACGGTCACCTCCTCCCTGCCCCCAGTTCAGTGTCTATCGACGCAAATTGGCGCTGTAAATGATTGGAGCCGGCTACACTTTGCTACTCTTAGGGAACATAGGAACAGGAGTAGGCCATTCAGCCCTTTGAGCCTGTTCCGCCAGACTCCTACGCTCATTTTATAATAATAACAAAATAATAACCCTTGCATTTAATATAGCGCCTTATCACGTCTTCGAGACGTCTCAAAGGGCTTTGCAGTAATGTGAATTGACTGTATCTCTTGTGGGTGAAACGCAGCAGCCAATTGCGCCCAGCGGCGTCCCCAACAACAACAACTTGGGTGTATATAGCGCCCTCCACGCCAGACGGCGTCTAAGAGCGCTTCACAGTAACGGATCCCGGGGCCGAGCCGGGGGGAGGGGGAGGAGGGCGACTAAAGGCGCAGTCGAAAAAAGTCTTCAGCCGAGACCTGAAAGTGGGAAGAGAGGGGACAAGGTGAAGGGTGAGGAAGGGAGTTCCAGAGCCTCGGGGCGTAGTGGCTGAAGGCAGAAGGCACGGCCGCCCAGGGTGGGTGGAGCGGAGGATTCGGGGGACGAGGGGGAGGCCAGACCCGGTGGAGCGAAGGCTGCGGGCACTGTTGTGAGGAGAGAGGAGATCAGAGAGATCAGGGGGTGCAGAGGAGTGGAGTAATTTGAAGACAAGGGTGAGGATCTTGAAGTCCCCACAAACACTCGCGGATTGAAGTGACCAATTTCTGGGTATTTTTGTTTCCTTGCTCACTGCCAGGTAAACAGAGGCCCGTGGTGTGAGCAAACTCTCCCGACATTTCACCCCGCCGGGAATCCAACCCGAGTCTCTCGCTGAGCTCCAATGTCGTTCGTTCAGTGTCAGAGGTCGACCAAGTCAGAAACGGTCCACGTTAGGCACGGGATCGAAAGCAGTCAAACCGCAGTGTTTACCGAGGAGCAGTTAATGCGCTTGGCGCAGAGCCAACCTGTACGAGCTGCGCTAATGTTTTCCCCAATGGATTCAATTCATGGTGCATTCTATCAAACCCGTTCCATCAGATCCCGGCTGATGTGTCGCTCGACTCCTTGGCCTGCTCCACATCCCCTGACCCACCCGCCCCACCATTGGCAGGAGAGCCTTCAGCCACTCTGCCCCCAACCTCTGGAACTCCATCCCCCAATTACTCCGCCTCCTTAGCCTCCTTCAAGTCCCGCCTCAAGACCCTCCTCTTCGACCATCCTATCGGCCACCCCCTCCCTTCTCCCCCTCTGACCCCAGCTCGGGTCTGAAATGTTGTACTCTGTCCAGAGCCTTGGGACGTCGTCCTGACGTGAAAGGCGCTATACACATGTAATCTTGTCGTTGTTCCTTGATAAAAACATCTGGCCACCTCGGTCCGGATAATGCGAATGGATCCAATAACCAAGAGCCAAGCGAGCGACGATACTCACACGTGCACTGCAGTTCTCGCTGAGCGTGCTTCCCGTGAATCTGGAGCTGGAAGACGCTGTGACTGCGGGATGAGCGGTCGTTGGCCGCTGTTTTGGCCACGGAGCGATTGGCTTTTGCCACCGTCAGAAGCTTGTGTACCTGCGGGCGGGGAGAGGGGTCAGCTCATGATTTCAGCTACAGCGAGCTACGCTAGCGTCTCAGAGCGCTCCACACTGTCATAGAGTAATTGCAGGACAGAAGGAGGCCTTTCGGCCCAACTGGTCTACGCTGGTGTTTATGCTCTACACAAGCCTCCTCCTTGCCCTCCCTCGACTAAGCCTGACAGCATAACCTGCTTTGTGGTGGCCTGTAGCTCAGGGGTTAGAGCCCTCGCCTCACAAGCCAGAGAGACCTGGGTCGATTCCCCGGCAGGGTGAAATGTTGAGCAAGTTTCCTTACTCCACACAGAGCCTAATAATAATCCCTCCAAAACCAAAAACAATAATAAATTGGTCATTTTCAATCTACGACTGTTTGTGGGACATTGCTGTGCGCAATTGGCTGCCACGTTCGCCCACAAATATACAGTCAATTCACTTTCCAGTGTGTTCTGGAACACATAGCAGGAAGTAGGAACCTGGTTGCTAGATGATTGGCGGATCGCTTTTCCGGGGATAATCACTCAAAAAATATCAAAAAACACTAAGAATTTGGTCACTCAACCCACGGCTGTTGTGGGACACTGCTGTGCGCAATTGGCTGCCGCGTTTCGCACAGTCAATTCACTTTATAGTCTATTCTGTGAAGCGCTTTGAGACGTCGAGAAGATGTGAAAAGTGCTATATCAAATGGATCATATTAGCAACGATTATTATTATTATTATTCCTTTCTCCCTCATGTATCTATCTAGCTTTTCCTTTAAACGTGTCTATGCTATTCCCCTCAAGTACTCCTGGTGTTAGCAATTTCCACTTTCCCACCGCTCTCTGGCTCTGACTTTCCTATTTGATTTATCGGTGATTATTATATATTCATGACCTCTGGTTTTGGTCTCTCCCACAAGTGGAAACATCTTCCCTATGTTGACCCTATCAAAACATTTCATCATTGTAAAGCCCTCTTATCAGATCAAGAGTCCAAGCATGTTCAGCCTTTCCCGATAGGTATAACCTCTCAGTTCCAGTATCATCCATGCAAAAAGGATGTAAATGCAGCTGCCCACAAAACAGTCAAACTATCTAACAGTAGTGAAGCGCTTTGAGACGTCTCGACAATGTGATGAGGCGCTGTATCAAATGCAAAGATTATTAAGGATTAATATTATTAATAATCTAGGAATTAAAAGAATCGATGGACGGGCTCAAGTACGATCAAGAGGTACATTTTGTGGTGTGCCTTGAAATGTGGGGGGGGGGTTGGGGGGGTACGAGGGAGTAAGTGCAATTCTCTCTGGGCGATGGCAAGTCTCAAAACGTTACCACCCAGGATATTACCCCGTACTACCTCTGCCGGGCAGGCTTTGACCCTCTATCCATTACCTGGAACTCCATTTCAGAGTCCCTCCACCTCACTCCCTCCCTCACCTCCTTAAGGGTCCATCTCGAGACCTACCTCAGACCTCACTTTCACCCCCCTCCCTCCTGCTTTGAGACGTCCTCGCAACATGGTGACCTCTGTGACCTGCTAAAGCCACACTGACTAACCTGTCCGCTGCCTCTGCTCAGCGGGCTCCAGCCTTCTCCACCCTCTGCACCACCCACCCCGGCTTGGCCCTCATCGGGGGTCGGGCCTTCGGCCTCTCTCTCTGCCCCCATCCCATGGTCCCTTCGCCCCCCCACCCTCCCCTTGCCTCCTTCAAGATCCGTCTAAAGATCTTTCTGTTCAATTGCGCCTTCGATCACCCTCCTCCCCCCTCCTGATCCAACCCCCAGCTTGGGCACAAAGCCTTGGGATGTCCTCTGGACGTGAGAGGCGCTGTGTTAATGCAATGTGTTGTTGTTGTTGTTGCTGCTGCTGCTGCCGTGTTCTCAGTGCCCACCTCTGCCTCTGTGCTGACGGGCACGTATTTCAGGTTGGTGACATGGAGCTGTTCGCTGGTGGAGCTGACCAGCTTGATCTCGTACTCGGTGTTTTTCTCCGGTTTGGTCACCAGCAAGTCCCGCAGCGACTCATTGTAGATCTCCAGAAAGTTGGCCGTGAAATTGAACTGAAAGAGAAACCAGAGGCCGGTTGTTTAATGCAGTAAAACTCTCATAAAGTTGCATCAGTCGAGGCGTTAACACTTAATACGACTCGTGCAAAAGGACACGAGCTGTGGAGTTCTGGATGATCTGAAATAACTTCACTTCACACAAATGGCTAACGTGAAGTGAAGTGACTGCGTGAAGACCCGAGCCAGCTGAGCGAAGGCGGTGGGGCAGGGGAGTGCGATGCGAAGCGACTTAACAGTATATCCCACGTACATTTTGAGACATCTCGATGACGTGATAAGGTGCTATATCGAAGGCAAGGATTATTATTGTAAAATATAAATTATATATTATGAAACAAAGTTAATAGAAGGGTATGATATAAGCTGCCGAGTGCAGAAATATTCAGACGAGAACAAATTGGGTAATCTGCTGATTAGTGAAACAATATCCCACTCCAATCATAATGAAACTCACTCTGTGAGGCACAAATTAATTGACTTGCAAAACATGGAGTTTCACTATATCTACTGACTTTCACAGATTTTTTTTCTGAGAATCTACCGATTCTATCCAGCTGGGACCACTCTACCCTTTAGGGCTTTGGCTTGCCCGGTTAATAAGAGCCGAGCGGGAAGACTCCCTGCCTTCCGGGCCCAGCGCTTTGGGATGTCCTCCCGACGTGAAAGGCGCTCTATAAATGGAATCTTGTTGTTGTTGTCCTGCCAATGAGCCAGGCCGGGCTGTGCTGTCGTCAGGAATACTGCAGACCCACCTGGCTCAGGATCCGGACTGGAGGGCTCTCACAGAGGGACATTGGTTGCCAAATATGTCACTAGTTCAGCTCCACTTCCCTCCATCCCAAGTGGGATAATCGCTATTTGGTCATTTGACACAACAACAACAACTTGCAGGTACACAGCGCCCTCCATGCAGGGCAGTGCCTCAGAACGCTTAACAGTAGTGGACCGTGTGTGTGCGCGCGTGTGGAGTAAGGAAACTTGCCCAAAGATTCGCCCTGTCCGGGAATCGAACCCGGTTCCTCTCGCTTGTGAGGCGAGGGCTCTAAACCCTCAGCCTCAGGCCTCCTCCACGGTAAAATAAAATGACACAGTGAAACTGAGGAAGTCACGTTGCAGTTGAGTGACTCACAGTCCAACCCATGGATTCCATCTTGGCTGCGCTCAGGAAGATTTGATTGACAGCTCGTGGGATCATCCCGTTGGTTTCAGTCGTGATGTCGTCAGGTCCTTCCATGGTGTAGGTCTTCCCACTGCCTGTCTGGCCGTATGCGAATATGCAAACGTTGTATCCATCCAAGGCAGACTGGGCAACGGAGAGCAAAAGACAGCGTCACTTAACATTATCGCTTAAGGGAACGACTCCATTGGTAGTACTCTCGCCTCCGAGTCAGAAGGATGAAAGTTATGAAGCCCACATCAGGAATTGAGAATAATAGTACAAAATATTAATAATAATAATAATGCTGGCATTTGACATAGCGCCTTATCACATCTTCGAGACATCTCAAAGCTCTTCAAATAATATACTGTAAAGTCAATTGACATGCGAGTGGTCTAACCACTGAGCCACAGGATTCGACAGGGTGAGAGATAAACAAGGTGCTTGGTGGACTTGTGGATGGATTTGTAGGCGAGTGTCAGGGCCTGGAAACCGATCAAGTACAAGCCAGCGGCATGTCCCAAGGGCTTTCTGCAGTTTTACAAATATGAACAATTTCCTGCGTCACTGAACGAAAAATCAATGAACAAAAATAAATTGCATCGAGCTGACAGGAAGCGTAAACAGCATTTGAGCTTCAAATTTCTGCTTGGCTGAGATTTGCCAAATGTGCGCGGGGGAAGATTAGAGATGACTAATCATTGTTGCATCCAGTATGTAGCGGTTAGACGCTTGCTTTGCACGTGCGAGGACTGGGTTCGTCCCTGGGTGAAATCAAGTTTTGTTACTCCATGCACGCACACCCATGCCTCTGATGACCTAGCAGTAAGTAGGAACCCGTTTGTAAGCGATCAGTGGATCGCTTTTCCAGGGATAATAATTCCTTCTCCCCCGCCCCCTCCCCCCCAAAAAAATAAATTAAAAATTTAAATTAAATTCGTGACTGTTTGCGGGACACCGCTGGACACAATTGGCTGCCGCGTTTCACCCACAAAATATACAGTCGATTTCACTTTACGTTGAAGCGCTTTGAAGTGAAGTGAGAATCAATGTCCACCCAAAACTTCTCACAAAAGACATGTGTCTGGATTTACTGTCCCCTGGTATTACCTGGACAAGCTGAGCGATTTCCTCAAAGACCTCCACCTGCCTGGCCTTGGGATTGAAAACGTGGTCAAAACTGAAGTCGTATTTCAGCTCAACTTTCCGATCTCGGCCAGTGCGAGACTGCAAACGGGGAGAGGAAAAAACACAGCGTTTATACACAAGTCCGAGAAAGCTACCTCCAGCCAACACAGACACTCTCTCCTACCTCCTCTCCTCCTACCCTATTGGGTGAAATCACTGGGCAACCCCCGATCCCCCCCCACTCGGGTCCAAATCCTTGACTGTCGAGCCCACGGGATGTCTTCCCGACGTGAAAGGGGCTGCAGGAATGTAAATTGCAGGAATATAACTCATCACCCCAGTCCTGGCTGGGCTCCACTGGCTCCATTACAAACAGATTGATTTCAAGATCCTCACTCGTCTTCAAATCCCTTCCAATCCACCACCCGCTGTCTCCCCCCGGCTGGCTCCGGCCTCCTGCTTGCCCCTCACGCCCTCTGTTCCACCATCACTTTCAGCCACACCGCCCCACTCACCGAAACTCTGGAACCCTCTCCCTCAATCCCACCACCTTGCACTCCCCTCCCTTCCCCATCTTCAGGTCGCAGCTGAGCACCTGCCTCTTTGACCGTGCCTACGGCCACTGCCAAGAGCTCTGGGACGCTGCCCAGGGTGAGGGGGCGCTCTATAAATGCAAGTCGTCATCGTTGTTGTTGGTAAGGAAGCACAGTAACAGCAGTGAAAGGCGTCCATTTTTACGGATCACCGTCCAGGTGAACTTTAAATGCGACGGGGTAGGGCGGGAGTTGGGGACAGATCATGTCGCTCGCAGAAAGCGAACTTACTTCTTCCATCTTGGCCAACACGATCGCTTTCTTGTCATTGGTCGTGAACTGAACATGGCTCATGTCTTTGCACTTGTCTGTCTCCGAGTCTAGCAGAGGCCGGACTCGGCAGAACACACGGATGTTGCCCTGTCGAGGGTAATGAGAGAACGTTAGGCTTCAGCGACAACATGAGGTGAAAGATATAATAATAATAATCCTTGCATTTGATATAGCGCTTTCCCCGTCTTCTCGACGTCTCAAAGCGTTTCACAGAATAAGACTGTAAAGTGAATTGACTGTATAATAATAATAATATTATTATTATCATAAAGCGTTTCACAGATTAAGACTGTAAAGTGAATTGACTGTATATTTGTGGGCAAAACAATTAATAAAATAATAATAAAAGATTAACAAAATAAGTCAGATTGAGACACCTTGATGACGTGATAAGGCACTAAAATCGAATGCATGGATTGTTATTTGACTTAACATTCACAGGGACTGACAATTTGGACGTTTTCCTACAGAATTGTTTACGAATTGGCTCTGTTGGGAGTCCTGTGGTTAGAGCACTCGCCTCGCAAGCGAAGGATCTGGGTTCGATTCCCAGCAGGGCAAAACCTTTGGCAAGTTTCCTCACTCCACACGCCTGATAATAGTACCCCCAGAAAAACAACAACAATAATAAATTGGTCACTTCAACCCACGACTACTTGTGGGCACGCTGCTGCGTGCAATTGGCTGCTGTGTTTCGCCCACAAAACATAGTCAATTCACTTTACAGTTTGAGCACATTTCAATGAAATCAGGAGTTGCCTGTTTTCATTTGGTTCTGGTGTCTAATATAACCCTATTAAAGGGCCCTTGGTCTAAGGTGCAGCTTGAATTGATGATAATAATAATCCTTGCATTTGATACAGCGCATTATCACATTGGTTTCAAAGCGCAGGATATATCGTAAAGGGAATCGACTATGTATTTTGTGAGGGAAACGTGGCAGACAATTAATTGCACACAGCAGTGTCCCACAAACCGTGACCACATTGAGTGACCACATTTTTTTTTGTTGAGGGATTTACATTTTTACATTCCGGAAAGCGATCTGTCAATCAACTGGGTTCCCACTTACTGCTAGGTAAACTGAGTGGTGTGGAGTGAGGAAACTTGCCTAAGGTTTCGCCCCACCCTGTAATCAAACCTAGTCCTCTTTGATGTGAGGCAAATGCACTAACCACTAAACTACGTGATGATACAACTTGCACCTATTCAAGCTGCACACAACACTGACTAAGAACATCTTTAACTGCCACTGATGTGGTTATTTGATACAGTAGAACTCAAGGAAATACATCAAAAATGCTTGCAAGGAGAGGTGTCACTTGGTGCCTGAAGGATTTAATGATTGTTCTTGCACATATGTACTTTATGATCAGTAATAATAATCCTTGCATTTGATATAGCGCCTTAACACAATGTTGAGATATCTCAAACAGCTTCACAGAATACATTGTTTAGTTATATAGTTTCGTCCACAAAAATATACAGTCAATTCACCTTACAGTATATTCTGTTAAGCCTTTGAGATATCTAGAAGATGTGATAAGGCAAGGATTATTATTATTGTAAAGTGGAGTGATTAGATTTTGTGGGCAAAATGCGGCAGCCAATTGCGCACAGTAGTGTTCCACAAACAGTCGGTCGTGGATTGAGTGACCAATTTTTTAAAAACATTTTTTATTTATTATTCCCGCTCGGGAAACAACCCCAGGTCCTCCGGCTTGCGAGCCAAGCAGCAAAAACGTGTATTATTGATTTAAAATCTGAATGAATTTCCACATTGCCTACTTAAAGTTGCATTGTCACTAAAGTTTTGTTCCGTTACAAACGTATTTAAAATTTAGGTTGTCAATATGGGTTAAGTTTCTGGAAGGGAAATGCAACAATAATGCTTGTGCAGACATTTCTCAAATCCTCGATCCTCAGCAGCCAAAAGGTTGCCCCCCCCCCCCCACCCCAGGATCTACACTGACACTCAACAACAACAACTTGCACTTCTCCAGCGCCCTCCATTCGGGGTAGCGTCTCGCAGTGCTGAAAGGGAAGCACTGAACTCCAGGAGGTGTGCTGTATTGTTAGAGGTGCTGTCCTTCGGAAGAGATGATAAACTGAGGACTCACTGAAAAGAGAAGGGAATTTTTTCCTCTTCTCACCCCTCCTTCTCCCTGCAGTTGGCTCCTCCTTCTCACTGTGTACCACCCTATCTAACTTTGTGTCGTCCGCAAACTTGGAAATGGTGCTTGCTATACCCAAGTCCAGATCATTTATGTATATTAAGTAGGCCAGTGGTCCTAATACCGATCCCTGGGGGACACCACTGTACACTTCCCTCCAGTCAGAAAAGCAGCCGTTCACCACAACTCTCTGCTCTCTGTCTCCCAGCCCATTCTGAATCCATGCTGCCACTGTCCCTTTTACACCACGGGCTTCTATCTTTCTTACAAATCTTTCATGTGGCGCTTTGTCAAATGCCTTTTGAAAGTCCCTATAAACTACATCAACTGCACTACCTTTATCCACCCTCTCCGTTACCTCATCGAAAAATTCTATTAGATTTGTTCGACAAGATTTGCCTCTAACAAATCCATGTTGGCTGTCCCTAATTAACCCATATTCTTCTAAGTGAAGATTATAGTCTCCAGGAGTTTCCCGACTACTGTTGTGAGGCTGACTGGCCTGTAGTTCCCAGGTTTGTCCTTCTGTCCCTTTTTGTACAGGGGAGTCAAATTGGCCACTCTCCAGTCCTCTGGTATCACTCCTGTGTCCAACAAAGATTGAAGAATTGTAACCAAAGCTTCCGCTATTTGTACCCGTGCCTCCCATAGTACCCTTGGTTAGATCCCGACCGGGCAACTTATCTACCTTCAGCGCAGTCAACCTTTTCAGTACTTCCTCTCTGTTTATACCTATCCTATCCATTTCCTCTACCCTCTCCTCCGATACTGCGGCATTTGGTGCATCCACTTCTTTTGTGAAGACAGATGCCAAGTACTCATTCAGTACATCAGCCCTCTGCCTCCACAATAAGATTTCCCCCTTGGTCCTTAATTGGCCCCACCCTACCTTTGATCAGCCTTTTTGTCTTGATATGTTTGTAAAATATTTTAGAATTCTCTTTAATGTTACCCGCTAATAGATAGATTCCGTTTTGGGCCCTCCAGCACCTCGACCCTTTCCACAGCTATAACCGTATCCTTGATTAACATCGCCACACCCCCTCCTTTTTTTCCTTCCCTCTCCCTCCTGAATACATTATAGCCAGGAATATTCAGCTCCCATTCCTGTCCTTGCTTGAGCCAAGTCTCTGTTACTGCTACTACATCGTTATCCCCCTTTGACCACTTGAGTCTGCAGCTCACCAATCTTGGTTTGCATTTAGGCACATGCACTCCAAGACCGACTTGACCTGTTCTGCACTTCCCCCCTGTTTTATTTCTCCATTTTCTAGCTTTTTGTTCACACATTCGCCCCAGCCCTGTTTAGGCGCAACCCATCCATATGATACAGGTCCCACCTGCCCCAGAACTGGTCCCAATGATCCAGAAACCTGAAGCCCTCTTTTCTGGAGGGAAAGCTAGATAGGTACATGAGGGAGAAAGGTTATTGAAGGTTATTCTTGACTGCTTAGTTGAGGAAGGGCAGGAGGAGGCTCATGTGGAGTATAAACACCGGCATAGACCAGCTGGGCTGAATGGCCTGTTTCTGCTCTGTATATTCTAATGTATGCCAAGTGGCCACAAAGCAAAGGGAGTGGTGTGGATTGAGGAAACTTGCCTAAGGTTTCGTCATCCGGAAATCGTATCCAGGTCCTCTTTGATGTGAGGCAAGTGCACTAACCACTAAACTACGTGATGATACAACTTGCACCTATTCAAGCTGCACACAACACTGACTAAGAACATCTTTAGCTGCCACTGATGTGTTTATTTGATACAGTAGAACTCAAGGAAATACATCAAAAATGCTTGCAAGGAGAGGTGTCACTTGGTGCCTGAAGGATTTAATGATTGTTCTTGCACATATGTACTTTATTGATCAGTAATAATAATCCTTGCATTTGATATAGCGCCTTAACACAATGTTGAGATATCTCAAACAGCTTCACAGAATACATTGTTTAGTTATATAGTTTCGCCCACGAAAATATACAGTCAATTCACCTTACAGTATATTCTGTTAAGCCTTTGAGATATCTAGAAGATGTGATAAGGCAAGGATTATTATTATTATTGTAAAGTGGAGTGACTAGATTTTGTGGGCAAAATGCAGCAGCCAATTGCGCACAGCAGTGTCCCACAAACAGTCGGTCGTGGATTGAGTGACCAATTTTTAAAAAAATATTTTTTATTTATTATTCCTGCTCGGGAAACAACCCCAGGTCCTCCGGCTTGCGAGGCAAGCAGCAAAAACGTGTATTATTGATTTAAAATCTGAATGAATTTTCACATTGCCTACTTAAAGTTGCATTGTCACTAATGTTTTGTTCTGTTACAAACTTATGTACATTTTCTATGTATACTGTATAATTTGTGGGCGAAACACAGCAGCCAATTGCGCACAGCAGCGTCCCACAAACAATCGTGAATTTAGTGACCGGTTTACAGGCGTGCGTGTGAGTGGAGTAAGGAAACTTGCCCAATGTTTCACCCAGAGTCGAACCCAGATCCTTTCACTTATGAGGCAAGCATCTAACCACTACACTACTGGACAATGATCAGTTATCTCTAATCTTCCCCTGCGCACATTTGGCAAATCTCAACCAAGAGCTATTTGAAAATCAAACGCTATTTATATTATCTGTCAACTCGGTGAAGTTTCATTTCACTTAATTAATTCTTCATTCAGTAATGTAGGAAATTATTCACATCTGTAAACTGTTGAAAGCCCTTGGGACACTGGCTTGCACTTGATCTATTACCAGCCCCTGACACTCGCCTATAAATCCATCCACAAGTCCACCAAGCACCTGCTTTATCTCTCTGAGTTGCTCTGTGGAGTCCTGTAGCTCAGCAATTAGAGCTCTCGCCTTGCAGGCGAGAGACCCGGGTTCGATTCCTGAGCAGGGTGAAACGTTGGGCAAGTTTCCTTACTCCACACACACGTCTCTGTTTACCTAGGAGTATAAGTAGGAACCCTGTTGTTAGTTGCTTGGTGGTAATAATCCCTCCAAAACAACAAGAAAACTGGGTCACTCAATCCACGACTGTTTGTGGGACGCTGTTGTGCATAATTGGCTATCGCGTTTCACCCACAAAACACACAAGTTAATTCACTTTACAGTATATTCTGTGAAGCGCTTTGAGAAGTCTCAACGACGTGATAAGGTGCTGTATCAAATGCAAGGATTATTATTTATTTTGCTCCATTCTTCAGTCGAACGTTTATTATATATATAATTCTTTCATTTTTTTTGATACAGCATCTTATCACGTCTTCGAGACGCCTCAAAGCGCTTCACATAATATACTGCCAAGTGAATTGATTGTGTATTTTGTGGGCGAAACGCGGCAGCCAATTGCGCACAGCAGCGTCCCACAAACAGTCGTGGATTTGAAGTGACCATTTTTTATTATGATTATTATTTTGAAGGAATTATTACCCCCGGAAAAGCTATCCGCCAATTGACTAACATCTGGGTTCCTACTTACTGCTGGGTAAACAGAAGCGTACGTGTGTGTGTGTGTGTAGTAAGGACACTTGCCCAACTTTTCGCCCTGAGGGGAATCGAGCCCAGGTCTCTTGCTTGCGAGGCGAGTGCTCTAACCACTGAGCTACAAGACTCTACTATATATATATATTAATTATATATATTATATATATACACATACATATAATATATTTATATACATACATACACACTATAAGTAACCTTTAACATCTAAAATAATAATAATAATTTGGTCACTCTAACCACTGAGCCGCAGGACAGAACCATACCTTGAGTTCTTGGACCAGATTGTGTAACCAGCGCCTTTCCACTTCTTTCCTGTGTAGCTCTTCCTCCTTCTCTGCTATGTCTTCTCGCAGTGAGGTCACCAGGGCCTGCAGTTCCTCCACACACTGGCTCTTGTCTGCCAGCTCGGCTCGGTTGGCTTTCAGTTTGCACTATAGTGTGAGTGGGGCAAGATGGGAGAACGTGATTGAAACCAAACATAGGTACATAGACGTAGGAAGAGGAGTAGGCCATTCAGCCTCTCGGGCCGCTTTATAAGATCATGGCTGATCTATACCTCAAGCCCAATTACCCGCCCTTACCCCATATCCTCAATACCCTGAGCTAACAAATATCTATCCACCTCCATCTTGAAAATGTGAATAGATCCACCATCCACAGCCTTTTGGGTAGAGAGTTCCAGATTTCCACGATCCTTTGATTGAAAACTGCCTCCTGGTTTGACTCCTAAATGGCCTAGCTCTAATCTTAAGAAGATGCGCCCCCTGTTCTGGATTCCCCCCCCACCAGACAAAATAATTTCTCTGTATCCATCCTATCGAATCCCTTCATTACTTGAAAAACCGCAGTCAGATCACCCTCCTACCCCGAACCTCCCTATCCCAACGCCTAGCTCGGGCCAAAATCCTTGACTGCCCAGGGCCTTGAGTCTATTCCTTTAAACACAGGTTAGATGGTTTTCTTTTAGGAAATAACGATCCGGAATATAGTATCGTTCGGGACGTGTGAAACGACCAGCATGAAGGTGGAAGGTGAACGAGAAAGACCTTGGTCGTTTTTGCGGCTAGCATTTCTTATGTTCTTATGTTGCAACGTCCTCCCGATGTGAATATACCACTTGGGACAGAGATATACAATTTGGCACAACCTGTATGAGCTGCACCGAATACTTTCTGTGAAGTATTCAATCTGATATTTAACCCTAAACTCCACAAAATACAAAGCGACACCAGCAGCACATCAACACGACAACTTGCGTTTGCTGTATATGCAGGTCTTTCACACAAGTACTGTTAGAGAGCTTAGCGAGTGGTGCGGTTTGATGCCCAGCTGGAAAGAGAGAGGAGATACGGTCAAGGCGGAAAGTCTTGGGGTGTGATTTGAAAATGGGTGAAGATGAGGGTTGAGGTGTTGAGGGTTCGGGGGTTGAGGGGTTCTGGGGTTGAGGTGAATGGCGCTGTGCAAATGTAATCTGTTGCTGTTGACTCCCGGCCCCCCAGTTTGTGACCTACCTCATTGGTGTCTACGATGGTGGTGAGAGTAAGTTTGGTGGCCTGGAGCTCACTGACGAGCTTCCCCAGCTCCCGGACCTGCACCCTGGCACACTCCATGTCGCTCTCACACCGCTCCTTCGCTCGCTTGATGGTGGAATTCTCATCCTGGCATTCCTGCAGCTCACTCTGAGTTCTCTTCAGTTGCATCTTCACCTTCCTGAACAACAACAACTCACATTTACACAGTACCTTTCACGTCAGGAGGACGTCCCAAGGTGCTGGACAGTCAGCGATCCACACTCACATCTGGTGCAGAGTTTTCACGTGGGGTTGATGTTCACAGGATATAAGTAAAGTCCAGCAACTGTGTTTTGTGTAGAAAGATATTTGGGGTGGATAAATTTGCAGGGCTATGTGGAGAGAGCGGGGGAGTGGGATTGATTTGGACAGCTCTTTCAAAGAGCCAGCACAGACACGATGGGCCGAATGGCCTCCTTCTGTGCTGTACAATTCTATGATTCTAAAACATCCTAGAAAGCACGGAGAATATATTTCAGAATCTGAGGCACTGGGCCAGAACATGCTATTTAATATCTTGGATTCCCATGTGGCTCCCAGGTTCACAGTATTAATAATACTGTATTTGATAGCACTTCGTTGAGATGCTTCACAGAAAATATTGTTAAGTGGATTGACTGTGTATTTTGTGGGTGAAATTGCGCACAGCAGTGTCCCACAAACAGTCGTGGATGGAGTGATTTAAAACAAAAAATTATATAACAACAAAATATATATAGATTATTACCCCCTAAGAAAGCGATCCCAGAAAGTGATGTAAGGAAATTTCCCCGTGGATTCGCGCTGCCCGGAATCTAACCCAGGACTCGTGGTTTACGAAACTCCTGTAATGAAGTGTCAGCCTAGAGAGAAGCGAATGTGTAAAAGCACGAACTTTGGGCTGAAAACCACAAAAACTTCTGACTCGGAGGTGAGAGTGATACCAGAGTCCACATCAGTCTTTTTTGCTTTTGTGTTTTTTTTTTATTTACACTGCCAGTAGCCTCTCCTTTTACATTCCCGGGCAGGGCGAAACGTTGGGCAAGATTCCTAACTCCGCACGCCTCTGTTTACCTAAGCAGGAACCCGGTTGTTAGTCGATTGGCGGATCGTTTTTCTGGGGGTAATGATTCCTTCAAAAGAAAAAATAATAAATCCGTTGCTTCAACCCACAGCTGTGTGTGGGACTCTGCTGTGCGCAACTGTCTGCCTCGTTTTGCCCGCAAGACATACAGTCACTTCGCTTTGCAGTATATCCTATGAAGCGCTTTGAGTCGTCTCAAAGATGTGCTATGTCGAATGCAAGGATTATTATTATGACTGAGCTGAAGGGATAGTCGGTACTCACTGCAGGTCACTCTCCAGCTCTTTGATCTGCGAGCTCGCGGCACTCGTCTGCTTCTCCTTCACATCGATGTTCTCCTGCAGCTCCGTGTTGTGAACCTCGAGGGACTGCAGGCGGTTTAAGTAGCCCGACATTGTGGCCTCCATGTCACCCAGCCGACCCTTCAGATCCCAAACAGGGCGTTTCTTGGCTGCAGCTGTGGAAGAGATCCCAGTGGGATCCAGTTACTGCCCTGCACTGGGAGCACAGACAACATCGCAACAGGAGGAGGCCATTCTAGACGATCATGGCTGAACTGTACCTCAAGTCCAATTACTCGCGCTTGCCCTGTATCCCTCAATACCCTGACCTAACAAATTTCTAGCAGTAAGTAGGAACCCGGTTGTTAGTCGATCGGGAGATCGCTTTTCCCCCAAAAATAATTTGGTCACTCAATCCACGATTGTGTGTGGGACGTTGCTGTGCGCAATTGGCTGCCGTGTTTCGTCCACAAAATACACAGTCTCTACACTTAACAGTATATTCTGTGAAGCACTTTGAGACGTCTCAATGACCTGATAAGGCGCTAAATGAATGCTAGGATTATTATATTATTACCTATCCACCTCAGTCTTAAAGATGTGAATAGATCCATAGCCCTTTGGGGAAGAGAATTCCTGATTTCCACTACCCTTTTGGGTGAAAAACTGTCTCATAATTTCACTCCTGATTGGAATGCGCCAACAGAACACTGGACAAACACCCTTCTCTTTCCAAATAGCGCTGTGGGATCTTGTCCTGGACATTAGCCTCTCACAATGCAACGCCCCCCACCCCAGCAGCACACTGGACATCAGCCTGGACTACACGATTTCTTGGATATGACCACAGTGTCACCCAGTCAGATAAGGTGACACATACACAAATTTACAAATTTCAAGGCAGTGTGTTTTTNCTTCTGTGAAAAGAAAAAACTACAGAATATCTGCACAAAAAATAACAACAAATTAGGTCATTCAATCTACGACTGTTTGTGGGACGCTGCTGAGCGCAATTGGCTGCCGAGTATCGCCCACAAAATATACAGTCAATTAATTTTACAGTATATAAGCGCTTTTGACGTTTGAATGTGATAACTTGCTGAGGATAACAAGGCCTTGGAAAAGGTGCAGAGGAAATTTAGCAGAATGGTACCAGGGATGAGGGACTTTAGTTATGTGGAGAGACGAGAGAAGCTGGGTTTGTTCTCCTTAGAACAGAGAAGGTTATGGGGAGATTTAATAGAGGTGTTCACAATTATGAGGAGTTTTGCTAGAGTAGACAGGGAGAAACTGTTTCCACTGGCTGGTGGAAAGAACCAGGGCACATAGATTTAAGAACTTGAGGGGAGATGAGGAGAATTTTTTTTAAAACCCAGAGAGTTGTTACGGTCTGGAATGCACTGCCTGAAAGGGTGGTGGAAGCGGATTCGATAGTAGCTTTCAAAAGGGAATTGGATAGGTACTTAAGGAGGAAACATTTGCAGGGCTATAGGGTAAGAGCGGGAAAGAGAAACTAGTTGAACGGCTCTTTCAGAGCCAGCACAGGCACGATGAGCCGAATGGCCTCCTTCTGTGCTGTGATATTCTATGATTCTATGTCAAATGTAAAGATTATTATTTTCCTGATATCTTATATCACGATAAAGGTACTTTGCTCACCCGATTTAGGGACGGTAGATGAAGTGGTTGACACTGAAGCAGTTGGTTTCTTTGTTGCACCTAAAATGTTAGATAAAATATTGACTTGAGGCATTAATCTGCCCCCAACTGCCTGCTCGCTGGACTTCCCAAGCCCCCGCAAACTGCAGATTATTCAAAACTGTGCAGCCATGTCCTCTCCCGCAACAGGCGCCGTCAAACCGAATCACCCCCACCCTCGCCTGGTTCCACCGGCTTCCCACCCCTCACATTACAACACCTTCGCTCTCACCTTCAAGGCCCTACAGGGTCTTGCTCCCCCACCTACCTCTCTGACCTCCTAACCCCATATCAGCCTGTCTGCTCCCTTCGCTCTGCGGACACCGAGCTTCTCGCCCTATCAATGGTCGGGTATTCAGCATCCCTGCCCCCACATTCTGGAACTCTATCCCGTAATCCTTCCCCCTCACCCCCTCTCTTGCTTCCTCCAAGTCCCGTCTACCATGCCTTCGTCAACCATGCCTTCAGCCCACCCTCCTACTCCCGGCCTCTACCCATCCCGATCCCAACCCCCTGCTCGGGTGCAAATCCCTGACTGTCCAGGGCCCTGGAACATCCTCCTGACGTGAAGGGCGCTGTGTAAATGTAACGTAATGTGTTGTTGTTGTCGTCGTCGAGCCTTAAGCAGACCACACACCTGACTCTCCAGCTAGAAAGCCACCACAGTTAGTGACCTGGAGAACCCGGGCTGAGCTCCTTCCCCTGGATGGTCCTCCTGCTACTGTGGCCGTAGAAGCCATAGGTCGTCCCTTGGCTCCTGGACCAGTGACTGTATTTGCAGGTCGTACTGTAAGAGAGAGAGAGAAAGAGAGAAAACACAGTGAAAGGAATTGACACCGGCATCTCTTTACTCAGTTCAAGTTCGCCTACACTTCATAGTAGGTTGGTGAAGAGCTTCAAGACGTCCTCCCGACGTGAAAGAAAGGCGGCACACCAAATACAACTATAGTTATCGCCTTGGATAAGCACGGCTACCAAAGTTGGTAGAAAACATTGGAAGCAAGTCAGCCCTGCTCGGATGGTAGTGCCCTCTCCTCTGAGTCATAGGACTGTGCGTTCAAGCCCCACGTCGGACTTGAAACCCATATCATCTAAGCTGACCCCCCAATGCAGCGCTGGGGGTGTGCTGCATTGTCAGAGTGCAGTCCAAAGAGACATTAGATCGAGCTCCCGTCTGTCTGTTCAGGTGGATGTTGAGGATTGATTCTGTGTCGCTATTTGAAAATACAAGGGAGTTTCTGTCTCCCATTGACATGTTTCCATTCCCCAGTACATTTTTTTCTCTGGTGTTGCCTGGGGCTATAGTGTGAACGTGCCATAAATGGATCTGTGCTGCACTAGAACAAGCAGCGGGAAAGTTTCCCAGACAGCGATATCAATGGCAAACTTTGAGGTTTTAGCTGATTAGGCTCCAGCGGTTATCCCAACGCACCCTCTGGAATTCTCCAAGCCTTCGATCTTGCCAACCTGCGCCTAATACTCTCCGGAATTAGGTCAGCAGGATGCATCCCTCCGGGGGAGCGAGAGAGAGAGAGCACATTCCATTCCAACAATCTATCTCGAGGATTTCCACCAGTAGGTGGGATGCGTGGAAATCTCAGCAGCTTAGTCTGGATGCTCTTAAGCACGGTGGTGGGTTTCCGCATGTGTCAGGACACCCGGCTGACCCAAAAAAAAAGGATTCAGTGGCACAGACAGACACAGGTATTCTCAACACATGTGGATGGGAATTATTACTTTCAGGCTGAACAAGTCTTAGACGCCACCTGCCACACGCACGCATCTGCGCACACCTGCTACACGCACACATACGTACCTCCATACTGGCTCCTGACTCCTGCCTTGACAGAGACTTTAGACCTGCCCAACACATGACTGCTTGAAGCGACAGAGGCTGGAGGCACATCATTACTCCGAAGCTTCTTCGCTATTGCTGGCATCTAAACCAGGGTCACAAACATTTTTTTTTTTTTAGTTGGACTCATTTCTAGAACATCCAGGAACTTGACTCATGCAGTCTAATCTCGACTTGCTCATAATACAAATGCTGATTTGAGTTTACAATAACTTGTTATTGTATAGATTGACTCATAGAAAGATGATTAGCAAAGATAAGTTTTTACTGCGACATCTTATCACACACAGGATCAGATAATTGCGCCTTACGCTATCATTCTGATCAGCACGTTCCTCCTCCAGTGACCGTTTTACTTTCTTCGCTGAAGGCTGGGGCAGCCGAGACTGAAGCTGTAACTGTGGTACAACTTTCCTCCCTTGGTCCACAGCCTCAAACACGTTGAGCTTGCGATCCATCAGAGGTGAACGCTGCAAAGAAACACAAACTGTTTTAGAATATAGTATAAAATAATCCTTGCATTCGATATAGCGCTTTTCATGTCTTCTCAAAGCACTTCACAGAATAGACTGTAAAGTGAATTGGCTGTATTTTTGTGGGCGAATGCAAGGCAATGGAGGTATGGCATTTGGGAAATCAAGACGTTTTTGTTAGCAACTAGGAGGCACAGTCATCCCTTGCCAACAGCCTGTTCTGTGCGTTTTATTTCGGTTGCAGTAGCCTGATAAGTTTCCTTCTACATTCTCAAATAATAAATATAATAAAAAACAGCTGCAAGAACTGTGGAGCAGGCTGGAGTGCCAGCATTTTAGTAATTCATCCCTGCGCTTTAATGGAGATTTTAGCGATAAAGTGACCTCTATCCCAGACTCTGAGGGCAATATGGATCAGAATTGTTTATCCCGCTGTAGCACAGAAATTTTCTGAAGAAGCCAGTTGGGAACAAGTGGATAAACAGGACACAGAGGTAACTCGACGGTACCCTGATCATTCGGCTGCAGATTGCTATGGCTGCGAAAGTCGATTTTGGCTAGCGAGCAGAAAGCACCACCGCAGGGACTGTGAACCTGCTGATGACACACAGTGAGGATTTTCAACAGTTATTTCTGTGTCTTGTCTGTCTGCATTTCCGGGTGGTGATTTTAAAGCACTTTTGCTGTGTTCACTAAAACGTTCCATGTAGTTTATTTCTGATCTTTGATTAAATTGATTGAACTAATTGGATCGGAAGATCATGGTGGTGCAACTAGCTATTTAAACTAACCACTTCTGTTTGTTGCTGCGTTAGCCATAGGGCATATTCAGCTGTTTCTATCCATTTTAAATATATGCAAATCTCAGCCATTGATGTCGGTTGAAATTATTACAGGGACATTTCCTTCATAAAGTCTGATAATAATCCCTCCAAAAAAACAAAACAATGATAAATTGGTCATTTTCAATCTACGCCTGTTTGTGGGACGCTGCTGTGCGCAATTGGTTGTCGCGTTTCGCCCCCAAAATATACAGTCAATTCACTTTGCAGCATATTCTGTGAAGAGCTTTGAGACATCTAGAAGACATGAAAAGCACTAGATCAAATGCAAGGATTATTATTATTATTATAAAATCCTTGCATTTGATATAGCGCCTTATCACGTCTTCAAGAGGTCTCACAGGATTTAATGTGAAGTGTAGTCACTGTGTATTTTACTGTCACCTCACAGCAATGTCCCAATGTCGGCGGTAGGGAAAATTCTGGTGTCTATAATTAGGAATATTGTTGTGGGGCGCTTAGAAAGTCATAATATGAATAGGCAGCGTCAACACAGTTTTATGAAAGGGAAACCGTGTTTAACAAATCTTTTAGAATTTTTCAAAGATGTAAATAACAGGTTAGATAGGGCGGAATCCTATCCACTGGATATAGTGTACTTGGATTTTCAGAAAACATTCGACAAGGTGCCACATAAAAGCTTGTTACATAAGATTAAGGCTCATGGAATTAAGGGTAATATATTAGTATGGATCAAAGAGTGGTTAATAGGCAGAAAACAGAGAGTGGGGATAAACGGGTCCTTCTCAGATTGGCAGGTTGTGACTAGTGGAGTGCTGCAAGGATCAGTGCTTGGGCCTCAACTGTTTACAGTCTATATAGACACGTTAAGTGAATGGGTGAGAGGGTGGCAGATGGAGTATAATGTCCATCTGTGAAGTGTGAAGTTATTCAACCAGGTAGAAAAAATAAAAAAAGCAGAGGTGGAAGAGACTAGATAGTGTTAGTATTCAGAGAGATTTAGGTGTCCTTGTACGCCAATCACAGAAAGTTAGTATGCAGGTACAGCAAGCAATTAGGAAGGCTAATAGCATGTTAGCATTTATTGCAAAGGGGTTAGAGTGCAAGAGCAGGGAAGTCTTGCTGCAGTTGTATAAGGTCTTGGTGAGACCGCACCCGGAATATTGTGTGCAGTTTTGGTTTCCTGATCTTAGAAAGGACACTCGCCTTAGAGGGTGCAACATAGATAGGTTCACTAAATTGGTTCCTGGGATGAGGGGGTTGACCTACGAGGAGAGGTTGAGTAAACTAGTTCTATATTCTCTAGAATAGAGAAGAATTCAAGGTGATCTTGTGGAAACCTATACGATTCTTAAGGGTCTTGAGAGGGGAGATAGTGTGAGACTGTTTCCCCTGGTTGGAGAATCTAAAACTAGGGGTTCATCATCTCAGGATTAAAGGTCAGCCCTTTATAACTGAGTTGAGAAAACATTTCTTCACTCAGAGGGTAGTGAATTTATGGAATTCTCTACCCCAGAAGCTGTGGATGTTCAGTCCTTGAACATATTCAAGACTGAGTTCGATAGATTTTTAAAACTAAAGGGATTAAGGGATATGGGGATAGGGCGGTAAATGGAATTAGGTTAGCAGATCAGCCATGATCTTATTGAATGGCAGGACAGGCTCAAGGGGGCGTATGAGCTACTCCTGCTCTTATTTCTTATGTTCTAGTTGTGTTCAACAGTTGTGGAGTGAGTGACCAATTTTATTGGGAGGGGGATGGGGTGTATTTATTGGCCAGGACACCAAGAGAGAGAGAAATTTTCTTCTTTTTTTGAATAGCGCCATGGGATCTTTAACCTGAAATAATAATATAATCCTTGCATTTGACATAGCGCTTTTCACATCTTCTCGACGTCTCAAAGCGCTTCACAGAATAGACTGTAAAGTGAATTGACTGTATAATTTGTGGGCGAAACGCGGCAGCCAATTGCGCACAGCAGCGTCCCACAACCAGTTGTGGATTGAAATGACCAATTTTTTTTTTTTTGAGGGATTATTATCAGGCGTGTATGTGGAATAAGGAAACTTGCCCAAGGTTTCGCCCTGCGGGAATCGAACCCAGATCTCTCACTTGCAAAGCGAGTGCTTTAACCACTGAGCTACAGGACTCCACAGACAGGACGGGACCTCAGTTTAACATCTCGCCCAAAGGACGGCACCTCTGACAATGCAGTGCACCCCCAATGTTGTAGTCTCGCATCAGAGTCGGAAGGTTGTGGGTTTAAACCCCACGTTGGGACTTAGAATTCACGTAGTGTTTGCTGATGCTCCAGTCCAGTGCTGGGGAGCGCTGCATTGTCAGAGGTGCTGTCCTGAGGACAAGACGTTGAACCGAGGAGCCGCCTGTGCCTGTTCTGTAGGATGTTAAAGATCTCGCGGGGCTATTCAAAAAGACAAGTTTCTCTCTCCCGGTGTGCTGGCCAACAATCCCCCAAATGAAATTGATCACTCACTCCATGGCTGTCTGTAGATCAACATTGTGTGCAAATTGGCTGCCACATTCACCCACAAAACACAGTCACTACACTTCACAGTATATCCTGTGAAGTGCTTCGCGACCTCCTCCTGACATGAAAGACTTGTTACCTAATGTAATACTTATTATTATTACACATGCAAATTTACCCCAAATTCTAATTATTTGACTACATTATACACTGGGCACCTTCAACAACAACAAGTGACATTTACACAGTGCCTTCCACATCGGGAGGATATCCCAGGGTGCTGGACAATCGGAGATCTGGAGCTGCGGGGGGCGGGGGGGGGGAGGAAGGGTGGAGCGTGGGGTGAGTAGGGTGGCCAAAGGTGCAGTCAAAGAGGAAGGTCTTGCAATGTGCCTTGAAGGAGGCAAGAGAGGGAATGAGGCGAAGGGACTGGGGGATGGAGTTGCAGAGGGTGGGGCAGAGAGGCTGAAGGTCCGACCGCCGATGGCTGGGGCGGGGCGGGAAAGGGACGCAGAGCAGATCGCAGACTAATCACTTTCTGACTCGGAAAGGCCTAAAGGGCGTAAAGCAACATCAACATCAACCAGAGCTCGCCCTACCAGCATTCATCACATGTAGACACAGCCGTTGTTGTGGCAAGCCAGGCCCTGAGATAAAGTCAGATCACAGAAGGGAAGGAAAAAGAGGACAGCACCAAGCTGTGGCTGAGAATCGTTGAATAAATTACGGAAACAAAACACTTTTGCCAAATATTCATTCCAAGGGAATGGTAGACGGTTGATTTTCGGTTTTTTGAGGGTTACAGAGAGAAAGTGGCAATAATAAGCCGTATCACGTGTTTGAGACATCTGAAAACGCTTCACGGGATATACTGCAACGTGAATTGACTTGTGTATTTTGTGGGTGAAACGTGGCAGCCAATTGCACACAGCAGCGTCCCACAAACAGTCGTGGATTGAGTGAGCAATTTTTTTTGTTGTGTTGGAGGGATTATTACCACCAATCAACTAACAACCGGGTTCCTACTTATACTGCTAGGTAAACAGAGGCACGTGTGTGGAGTAAGGAAACTTGCCCAACGTTTCGCCCTGCCCGGGAATTGAACCCGGGTCTCTCGCTTGCGAGGCCTCTAACCACTGAGCTACAGAACTCCACAGTGTGACTCAGAGAGATAAAGGAGGTGCTTGGTGGACCTGTGGATCATGGATTTGTAGGCAAGTGTCAGTGCCTGGTAATAGATGACGTGCAAGCCAGCAGGTAATTCCTATATTATCACAGAATTAAATAATCAAAATGAAACTTCACCGAGTCGACACAAAAATATAAATAGCGATAAATAGCGTTTGATCTTCAAATGGCTGCTTGGCTGAGATTTACAAAATATGCGTGGGGAAGATTAGAGATGACTAATCATTGTTGCACCCAGTAGTGTAGTGACTAGATGCTTGTCTTGCAAGCGAAAGGACTTGGGTTCAACCTGGGTGAAACATTCGGCAAGTTTCCTTACTCCACACACACTCACGCCTCTATTGACCTAGCAGTAACTAGGAACTCGGTTGTAAGTCAATGGTCGATCACTTTTCTGGGGGTAATAATTCCTTCCTCCAAAAATAAATAAAAAATAATAAATTGGCAACTAAATTCATGAGTGTTTGTGGGACGCTGCTGTGTGCAATTGGCTACCGCATTTTACCCACAAAATACAGTCAATTCACTTTCCAGTATATTTTGTGAAGCGCTTTGAAACCTCTCGAAGACGTGATAAGGCGTTATATCAAATACAAGGATTATTATTATTATATTGCACCCAAAGAGGAAGGTCTTTAGATGGACTTTGACAACTACAAGATTACATGTGTACAGCGCCTTTCACGTCGGGAGGACGTCCCAAGGCGCTGGACAGTGACAGCATTTCAGACCCGAGCTGGGGTCAGGGGGGAGAAGGGGGTGGCCGATGGCATGGTCAAAGAGGAGGGTCTTGCAGCACGACTTGAAGGAGGCTAAGGAGGGGGTGAGGCGGAGTGATTGGAGGATGGAATTCCAGAGGTTGGGGGGCAGAGTGGCTGAAGGCTCTCCCGCCAATGGTGGGGCGGGTGGGTCGGGGGACGTGGAGAAGGAAGCAAGGGAGGGGGTGAGGCAAAGGGACTCCAAAGAGGATGAAATTCCAAAGAGTGGGAGCAAAAAGGCTAAAGCCCTGACCACAGGGAATGTGAAGCAAGCTGGTGTTTGCCGAGTGGAGGGAGTGGGTGGGTATGTAGTGTTTCAGAAGACGTTAGGAACAGTTAGTAATAAAAAGATATGAGTCACTCACAATGTTCTCCATTTGCTGCTGGTCAGGATCTGCAATGAGCGACTAGCTTCTGGAAACAATAAAACCAGTGAGGAGTCATTCACAGACAATATGCACTGCTATATTTATAATAATCTTTACATTTGATACAGTGCTTTATCACGTCTTCGAGACATCTCAAATTGTTTCACAGAATGTTCTGCAAAGTGAGTTGACTGTATATTGTGTGGGCGAAACCCGGCAGCCAATTGCACACAGCAGCGCCCCACAAGCAGTCCTGGGTTGAGTGGCAAAATTATTACTGATAATGCTGTACAGCATTGTCAACAGCATTACAAGAATTAAGCTTTTCAAGGGACAATAGCTTACAACTTTGCATTTACAGCAAAACTTAGCTGAGTGGCATCAGTCGGGATCATAACATTTCATACGATTTACCGTAACTCATTTAAGTATTAGTACATGCAAACTTGCGCAAGTCGTACAAATATACAATAAATATAAAATGTATAAACGTGACACGCAGTTAATTCACTTTACAGTATATTCTGTGAGGTACTTTGAGACGTAGCTGGCAAGTGGGGGGAGAAGGAGGGGTGAGAAGAGGAAAAAATTCCCTTCTCTTTTCAGTGAGTCCTCAGTTTATCATCTCTTCCGAAGGACAGCACCTCTAACAATACAGCACACCTCCTGGAGTTCAGTGCTTCCCTTTCAGCACTGCGAGACGCTACCCCGAATGGAGGGCGCTGGAGAAGTGCAAGTTGTTGTTGTTGAGTGTCAGTGTAGATCCTGGGGTGGGGGGGGGGGGCAACCTTTTGGCTGCTGAGGATCGAGGATTTGAGAAATGTCTGCACAAGCATTATTGTTGCATTTCCCTTCCAGAAACTTAACCCATATTGACAACCTAAATTTTAAATACGTTTGTAACGGAACAAAACTTTAGTGACAATGCAACTTTAAGTAGGCAATGTGGAAATTCATTCAGATTTTAAATCAATAATACACGTTTTTGCTGCTTGGCTCGCAAGCCGGAGGACCTGGGGTTGTTTCCCGAGCAGGAATAATAAATAAAAAATGTTTTTAAAAATTGGTCACTCAATCCACGACCGACTGTTTGTGGAACACTACTGTGCGCAATTGGCTGCCGCATTTTGCCCACAAAATCTAATCACTCCACTTTACAATAATAATAATCCTTGCCTTATCACATCTTCTAGATATCTCAAAGGCTTAACAGAATATACTGTAAGGTGAATTGACTGTATATTTTTGTGGAAGAAACTATATAACTAAACAATGTATTCTGTGAAGCTGTTTGAGATATCTCAACATTGTGTTAAGGCGCTATATCAAATGCAAGGATTATTATTACTGATCAATAAAGTACATATGTGCAAGAACAATCATTAAATCCTTCAGGCACCAAGTGACACCTCTCCTTGCAAGCATTTTTGATGTATTTCCTTGAGTTCTACTGTATCAAATAAACACATCAGTGGCAGTTAAAGATGTTCTTAGTCAGTGTTGTGTGCAGCTTGAATAGGTGCAAGTTGTATCATCACGTAGTTTAGTGGTTAGTGCACTTGCCTCACATCAAAGAGGACCTGGATACGATTTCCGGATGACGAAACCTTAGGCAAGTTTCCTCAATCCACACCACTCCCTTTGCTTTGTGGCCACTTGGCATACATTAGAATATACAGAGCAGAAACAGGCCATTCAGCCCAGCTGGTCTATGCCGGTGTTTATACTCCACATGAGCCTCCTCCTGCCCTTCCTCAACTAAGCAGTCAAGAATAACCTTCAATAACCTTTCTCCCTCATGTACCTATCTAGCTTTCCCTCCAGAAAAGAGGGCTTCAGGTTTCTGGATCATTGGGACCAGTTCTGGGGCAGGTGGGACCTGTATCATATGGATGGGTTGCGCCTAAACAGGGCTGGGGCGAATGTGTGAACAAAAAGCTAGAAAATGGAGAAATAAAACAGGGGGGAAGTGCAGAACAGGTCAAGTCGGTCTTGGAGTGCATGTGCCTAAATGCAAACCAAGATTGGTGAGCTGCAGACTCAAGTGGTCAAAGGGGGATAACGATGTAGTAGCAGTAACAGAGACTTGGCTCAAGCAAGGACAGGAATGGGAGCTGAATATTCCTGGCTATAATGTATTCAGGAGGGAGAGGGAAGGAAAAAAAGGAGGGGGTGTGGCGATGTTAATCAAGGATACGGTTATAGCTGTGGAAAGGGTCGAGGTGCTGGAGGGCCCAAAACGGAATCTATCTATTAGCGGGTAACATTAAAGAGAATTCTAAAATATTTTACAAACATATCAAGACAAAAAGGCTGATCAAAGGTAGGGTGGGGCCAATTAAGGACCAAGGGGGAAATCTTATTGTGGAGGCAGAGGGCTGATGTACTGAATGAGTACTTGGCATCTGTCTTCACAAAAGAAGTGGATGCACCAAATGCCGCAGTATCGGAGGAGAGGGTAGAGGAAATGGATAGGATAGGTATAAACAGAGAGGAAGTACTGAAAAGGTTGACTGCGCTGAAGGTAGATAAGTTGCCCGGTCGGGATCTAACCAAGGGTACTATGGGAGGCACGGGTACAAATAGCGGAAGCTTTGGTTACAATTCTTCAATCTTTGTTGGACACAGGAGTGATACCAGAGGACTGGAGAGTGGCCAATTTGACTCCCCTGTACAAAAAGGGACAGAAGGACAAACCTGGGAACTACAGGCCAGTCAGCCTCACAACAGTAGTCGGGAAACTCCTGGAGACTATAATCTTCACTTAGAAGAATATGGCTTAATTAGGGACAGCCAACATGGATTTGTTAGAGGCAAATCTTGTCGAACAAATCTAATAGAATTTTTCGATGAGGTAACGGAGAGGGTGGATAAAGGTAGTGCAGTTGATGTAGTTTATAGGGACTTTCAAAAGGCATTTGACAAAGCGCCACATGAAAGATTTGTAAGAAAGATAGAAGCCCGTGGTGTAAAAGGGACAGTGGCAGCATGGATTCAGAATGGGCTGGGAGACAGAGAGCAGAGAGTTGTGGTGAACGGCTGCTTTTCTGACTGGAGGGAAGTGTACAGTGGTGTCCCCCAGGGATCGGTATTAGGACCACTGGCCTACTTAATATACATAAATGATCTGGACTTGGGTATAGCAAGCACCATTTCCAAGTTTGCGGACGACACAAAGTTAGATAGGGTGGTACACAGTGAGAAGGATAGGAGCCAACTGCAGGAAGACATAGGCAGAATGATAAAATGGGCGACACATGGCAGATGAGTTTCAATGTAGAGAAATGCGAAGTAATGTATTTTGGTAGAAAGAATGAGGGGAGGCAATATAGGCTGGTAATACAATCTTAAGGGGAGTGAAGGAACAGAGACCTGGGGGTGCAGGTAAATGAATCCTTGAAGGTGGCAGGACAGGGAGATAAAGCTGTAAAAAGGGCATATGGGATACTAGGCTTTATAAATAGGGGCATAGAGTACACGAGTCAGGAGGTTATGATTAACCTATGTAAACACTGGTTAGGCCTCAGTTAGAATACTGCGCCCAGTTCTGGGCACCACACCTTCTGGGAAGGATGTTAAGGCATTGGAAAGAGTGCAGAGGAGATTTACGAGGATGGTACCAGGAATGAGGGACCTTGATTATGAGGAAAGGCTGGAGAGGCCGGGATTATTCTCATTGGAGCAGAGAAGGTTACGAGGAGACCTAATAGAGGTCTTCAATATCATGAGGGGATTTGATAGGTTATAAAGGGAAAAACTGTTTCCACTGGTGGGTGTCGGTGACTTGAGTTCACAGATTAATTATTATTAGTATTATTATTCACACAGCAGTGTCCCACAAACAGTGGTGGATTAAGTTGTGCCTATCAGGAAAGGCTGAACTTGCTTGGACTCTTTGCTCTTGAAAAGCCAGGTGCGGGCCGCAGAACGCACCTGTGTCAAATCTGGCCTAACGGTCCACCGACAAATCTGGCTGGACCTCCTCAAAATTTACCGCTCCACTCTAGCCTCGGCCAAGTCGTCCTTCTACTCCAGGATAATCCTGGAGGCGAAGAACAACCCCAGGCTACTGTTTTCCACCACAACCCGACTCCTCCGTCCCCCCCGCCACCCCGCGCAGGTCATCTCCTCCAACCTTCACTGCGAGGAGATGACCTGCTGGATTTCCTTGAATCCAAGATCAAGGGAATCCGCTGCGCGGTCACTTCCCCTCCAACTTCCACCCACCACCCACCACTTCCCTCCCACACTCCGACTCCTACCCATCCTCCCCTACACACCTTTGTACCCGTTTCCCCACCCTCTGTCACTGAACTCATCCAATCCCTAAAACCAACCACCTGCTCCCTTGACCCCATCCCCACTCCACTCCTTATCTCCCAGCTCCACTTTCTTGCCCCACATATCACTGACATCATCAACCTGTCCCTCTCCTCTGGCTCTGTCCCCATTCCATTAAAAACTGCCATCATCACGCCCACCCTGAAAAAACCCTCCCTTGATGCGTCGCAGCTATCAAGTTACCTGCCCATCTCCAACCTCCCCTTTCTCTCCAAGGTCTTGGAAAGAGTTGTCGCCTCCCAACTGCGCTCTTTCCTTTCCACCCATTCTCTTTTCGAACCCCTTCAGTCAGGTTTCCGTGCTGCCCATAGCACAGAAACTGCCCTGGTCAAGGTCACCAATGATATCCTGACCATCTGTGACCAGGGCTCCCTCTGTCTCCTCGTCCTCCTCGACCTATCGGCAGCATTCGATACGGTCGACCACGCTATCCTACTCCACCGCTTGTCCTCCCACCTCAACCTTCAAGGCACTGTCCTTGAATGGTTTAGGTCGTACCTTTCTCACCGTCTTCATTTCGTCTCGACGAATGGCTTCTCCTCCACCCCCCGCACTGTCTCATGTGGTGTCCCTCAGGGCTCTGTCCTCGGTCCCCTCCTCTTCACCCTCTATATGCTCCCTCTTGGTGACATCATCCGCAGACATGGAGTTAACTTCCACATGTATGCGGATGACACCCAACTCTACCTTTCCTCCTCTACTCTCAA